TGAATGTTTACATTTGTTGATAGTTAAGTATTGTACGTGGAGTATAACCTATTGTTTTACTGAATGTTTACATTTGTTGATAGTTAAGTATTGTACGTGGAGTATAACCTATTGTTTTACTGAATGTTTACATTTGTTGATAGTTAAGTATTGTACGTGGAGTATAACCTATTGTTTTACTGAATGTTTACATTTGTTGATAGTTAAGTATTGTACTTGGAATATAACCTATTGTTTTACTGAATGTTTACATTTGTTGATAGTTAAGTATTGTACGTGGAGTATAAAACATGTACTATATCTAGTTTTGTATAACAATATAACATGTACTATATCTAGTTCGAGTTTCAAATTAAAGTCAACTGTTTTGCAAGTGCTCTTTTTTTTCTGCTGCCAATTGATATATTATTTGATAAATTGGTAAAAACTACATCTAGAAATTTAGATAAAATCCTTCTCTCTTAACTGAATGAATTTATTTAATTGCCATATTGTACATATTGTCTTTACTTTGTAATTCAATACCAGTTTATTTCACAACTTATCTTGTACATATATAAACTAGTCGTATTTTATCAACAGGTATCTACATTTTATTCATTTCATTTAGTTCATTTTATTATATTTTATTGGTGACATAAATATCCTTCCCTGTTATATCAGTTGGTACCTAATAAAGTATTATTCTTTGATGTATTTTATCTGTAAAAGATATTATATAAAATGAATACTTTTCTTTCAGTATTGTGAGAGGATACTCCTTGAGTTATTCTGCCATGAGGCTAGTCCACCCTTTCATGAACCAGTTAACAAAACAGTAAGTTATACTCCACATACAGTACTTAACTATCGACAAATGTAAACTACTGGAACCAGTCAGTAAAACAGTAGTTATACTCCACATACAATATTTAACTATCGACAAATGTAAACTAGTGGAACCAGTCAGTAAAACAGTAAGTTACAATCCACGTACAATACTTAACTATCAACAAAAGTTAACATTCAGTATAACAGTAGGTTATGCTCCACATACAATACTTAACTATCAACAAAAGTTAACATTCAGTATAACAGTAGGCTATATCTAGTTTTGTACAACAATATTTACATGTTATCATATTATTACACAAAACTAGATATAGCAGGTAATCATATTGTTGTACAAAACTAGATATAGTACATGTTATCATATTATTACACAAAACTAGATATAGCAGGTAATCATATTGTTGTACAAAACTAGATATAGTACATGTTATCATATTATTACACAAAACTAGATATAGCAGGTAATCATATTGTTGTACAAAACTAGATATAGTACATGTTATTATATTATTACACAAAACTAGATATAGCAGGTAATCATATTGTTGTACA